TCCGGGCGGGGGAGAAGGCGGCGCCTCCGGGGCGGGGCTGCGGGCGGCCTGGCGGGAGGCCCGGCGTGCGTCAGCGCCTGAGCCCCGGAGTTTTCCACTGACGAGGAGGGCGGAGCGGCGGGCGGGGCCGGGCGCAGCCAGTCTCCAGTCTCCCGCCGCCGCCGCCGCTGCCGGACGCGCGTCGCGAGGGGCTGCGGGACCGCCGGCCGCCGGGCCGAGCGCACAGAGTCGCGGCGCGGGGGGCGTCCCCGGCCGGGGCGCAGGTGGCGCCGGTGTCCTCCGCGAGCGTCCGGATCGCAGGTGAGCGCCGAGGGCCTTGGGCCCGGCCGGCCGGGACTCCGGGGAGGGGGCGTTCAGCGCGAGCGGCACCGCAGCTCCGGCCCCTGCGCTTCGCTCCCCGGCACCCTGGGCGGGAGCTGCCCGGCCCGGCCCTGACTGCGCGCCGCGCTGGAGTCGGGGGCCGGGGGCCCGGGCTGGAGGAGTCCCGGGTTTTGGGCTCCCCTCCCCCGCCCGCCGCCGGCCCCCCGAGAGAAGTGGCGGCGCCCCGAGTTCGCGAGTGGGGACAGAGCCGGGCGTGCGCGGCAGCGGCGAGGCGACGGGGGCGTGCGCCCGCGGGCGAGTTTCCTTTTGACCCAGTTGCCTGAGAACTTTTCAGAAGTTCCTCGCGTGGCCGGAGCAGGTGACATTTGTCGCCTTCCTCCTCGGACTCCCCCCTCGGGGACGCGGCGGGAGCTGCGGCGTGTGCCGGGCGCCCCCGGCCGGCGGGGGTCGGGGAGGGCGTGGATGCATGAGCGGGAGGGAGGCGGGTGAGTCACGGACCCCGGGAGGAGGAGGGGGAAGGGGGGAGGGATTGTGTCGTAGGCTCACCTGTTTGTCAGTCGCCGTCACTCTCGGAGGCCACCGCTGTGAGTCACGGGCGCAGCTACACCGGCCACCCGCGGGCACACGTAGACTGTCTCCCACGCACTTCTCCTTCCGTGGCACGTACTTCTTCCCCTTCCTCAGTTTCTCCTCCCCGGGGCCCATTCACAGGCACACGCTGTGGAGATGCCCACACCACAGCCACAGTCACAAACTTAGTCATTCCCGCGCCCGGCACCATCACACACAGGCGGAGCCCACACTCCTGACACCAGAGGGTCCCTCCCTGCCTCCCGCTGCCCACCCAGCGCTTCCCCCCAGAAGTCTCAAGCCTTTTGGATAGTAACTCATCAGCTCCCTGCATCCCTGACAGCCCTGCCCTCTTCCAGCTCCACACCCTGGTATCTGCCTTTCTCCTGTGCCCTTGACCTGTCATCTCACCTGGCTCTGGCTGCGCCTCCAGCAGTCACGCCCCCTCCACTCCCGGAGCTTTTAAAATGCAAAGCTGGCATTGTCACTCCCTGCTTCAGCCCTCTGTGGCTTGACGTGCCCTCGGGCTAGCCTGCCCTGGAGCCCAGTCTCAGCCCCTTCGAGGCCGCCCCTCCTCCGATCACCAGTCTGCTCAAGTTCCTTACCCACGCGGAGCCCCTCTGGGGGGGACCTACCTTCACCCCAGCTGTACCCTGTCCCACCCTCAGACCCTCCATCCTAGCACCCTACTCTGTTTGTCCTTCCCGCTCAACTCAGAGCTCAAAGAAGGCCCCAGCGGCGGTGTAAGTTTTGCTCCCTGCATGCTCGAGTTCCTGCAACCCTGCATGGCACATATGTGAGCTTAGTGCGTATTTGTTGAATTAATGAATGAGAGAGGGAAGAAGCCCCACTTAGGTGGAGGGAGTAGTCATTGTCAGGTGCAATTCCCCTTCTGCAGGAACAAGTGCTTCATGTAGCCAGCAAACATTTGGCACCTTTCCTGTGCCAGGTCCTGGAGGCCAGAGCTGAGGAACTGTCCCTCACTCGGCTCTCCTTCAGAGGGATGCTTGGGGGAGGAGGTGCCAACGCTTTCTGTCTGCCCTCTCTGGGCCACCCAGGCTGGTTTTTCAGTGGGGGCTCTAGGTGCTAGGAGGTGCCCTCCCCTTCTCCCAGGAAGTTGTTCCTGAGGGCCAGGGGTCATGTGACTCCAAGCGTTTTGGGGGGACTGGCCAAGGCCTGGGGCTCTGAGGTTAAAGGACACATTCTTCAGATTCCTGAAGGGGGTGGAGGCAGCTAAAGGTGCCCCCTCCCTACGACTGGCTTGGGCTGAGGCCTGGGGCACTGGTGGGACTGCCAGGTGGACCGAGGACTTGCTGTGACTTTTTCGAGCCCCACCCCCACCTCTCAAAAACAGCCTTTGGTTGCTTGGTGCCCGTGGGTGATGTGGCCTTTCCTGCATTCGAACGGTGTGACCTAAGCGTGTTGATAATTGTGGCCACTAGAGTGGGGGATTGTCAGCGCCTGTGTGTGGTGGCGGGAGGGCTGCCCAATTCTCAGGGCTGAGATCCCAGAAGAAGCCTGGCTCTCTTTGATTCAGGGCCTGTCTCTGGGGTTCCTCCGTGGTGTGGTATTTCTGTCTGAGCCAGCTCCTGAGAGCTGCTTTTCCTTCCTTTGGGACCCTAGGAGGGGCCTTGCTCAGCCTGGGAACAGCGCCACGGTCAGGATCTTGATTCCTGGGTAGCTGCTGAGGGCCCCTCCCCCACCCTCTGACTCACTGTCTGACACTTTTCTTAGATTCTCACTATCTCTCATTCCCCCTCTGACTTGGCCTCTCCCGTGTCTCTGGCTCAATCTTTTTGTCTCATCTCCTGCCTCTGCTTAGCCTCTGGATTCCCAGGTGGGACAGAGGAACACGAGAACCAGGGGAACTTTTTCCCTTCTCTTTCTCCAGAGGAGAATCAGGGAGGAGGTAATTTCTCATTTCATTCCAGCTCTGCAGATTTGCAAGACATTGTTCATCATTAGAACCTGCAGCATGGCCATAGCCTCCCTGTGTCTCTGTGTCCCTGCCTGTAGAATTGGAGGTCATCACTCCTCACCTTAAGTTATCTTTCTGCGGACATCCTGAGGCAGAGCCGCGGTGTGTGGCTGAGCCTGCTTTCCTGACAGCTCTCTCCATCTGTCTCTTGGGGAACAGGGAGCCTCCTGGGATCGCCTTCATTGGCACCTGCCTGCAGCCAGAGCTTCCCTCTCCTGCCCTCAGAGCCACCCCTCTGAGCACCATTCTTGCTTGCACCCTCTGGCACAGCTGAGAGATAGACATGTGACTCACCTCCTCCCGCCCTTAAATTAACCATGACAGGAGCAGGAGAAGGTCATGCTGACCACTCGCCCTCAGCAACCTCATGTGCGTAGGATTGCCTGTGCAATCGGGTCCATACCTGATATGCAGGGCTGGGCTGCCTACCTCTGATATTATCAGGTGCCCTCTCTATGCCAGACTGTGTCCTGGGCATGGGCACAGTGGCAGCCAGAGATGCCCTCAGCGTGAGGCAGATGAGCAATGAGACCCTTGCAGTCTGGTCAGATAAGGTCTGTGATGGGGAAATAGCAGGGTTTTTGAAAGCTGCTATAATAGAAAGTGCGTAGACTGGGTGGCTTACTCCAAAGATGTTCACACCTTGGGAGGTTGTGAGGTTCAAGATCAAGGCTCCAGTTAGCCTGATGAGGGCCCTGTTCTCAGCTTGCAGATGGACACCTTCTTGCTGGGTCTGAGCTCATGTTGGAGAGGGAGACCATCTCTTTTGTGTCACTTGTTATAACGGCGCTAATAGGTGTTATTCATTGATTACCTCCCAAAGGCCCCACCTCCCAATACCATGACACTGGGGATTCAGTCTCCACATAAGAATTTTGGTAGGATACGATACTCAGTCCGCAGCAGGAGCGCAGAGATGCAGGGGGAAGGAGTGGGGGATTCAGGAGGCTCGAGTGGTGACTTTCTGAAAGGGAGTGAGGCTGGGTTGCGCAGAGGCCGGGAGGTGAGTGGGGACATGGCCATTAGGGGAACTGCAGGTTCAACTGGAGTGTAGAGAGCAGGGTGGAGGGAGGGAAGCAGTGGCCAGGTCAGCTTCAGCTTGAATTCTGGACTTGATCCTAAGGTCAGGCTTCCCCAAGGGGAGCTCTAGAGTGGTTCTAGGCGTGGGAGTGGCAGTTACATGTGTGGTTTAAGAACGTCATCCTGGCTACAGGATCAAGAACGGCCGGGGAAAGAGGGCAGGGGCAGAGGGACATGGGGTAGCAGCTATGGGGGCAGAGACATGTTAAGGTTAGTAAACTTTTTAGATTGACAGTAACCTGAATAAAATACATGAAGTATATAAATCTTCTGTGTATATAAGATGAAGCTTTGCAATTTTAGACATCCATGTAACCACCATGCAAATCAACATGGAACTTTCACAGGTCCCCCAGCCCCTACCCCTGACCCCAGAAAACTTCCCTCGTGACTCTCTCCAGGGTGTCCCCTTCCCTCCCCTGGGGAACCACTGCTCTGACTTAAATCATTGCGGATTAGCGAACGTTTGCACGTATTTCGTGTCTGGCTTCTTTCACTCCATGATGTCTGTGAGATCATCTGTGTCGTGTGCATCCAGGAGCTGGAGCGCGTTTCTTTTTTCTTTTTTTTTTTTTGCAGTGTGGAATCACACATTCACTGAGCACTTACCACTAATCTAAGCACGCGTGACATGTACTGATTCCTCTAAACTTCTCAATCCTGTGAGGTCTTAAGACAAAGAATTGGAGGCACAGAGAGGTTAAGGAACTTGCCAAGGATTACCCAGCCAATTAATAGTGGAGCCAGGGTTCAAACACAGGCAGTCTGGTTCTGGAGCCGAGGTTCTTAACACTATGCCAGGTGGCCTCCACGATACCTACTGGGTCTGTTCCTGGCTTTGTGTGGATTAAATGGATTTGCGTGAACTCCCAGGCACGGGTGCCTGGATGTAGACCGAGGGAGATAGAGGAAGGAGTTGAGGATGACTGCAGGTTTCTGGCTTGAGTGACTGGGTGGGTGGTGGGGCTGTTACTAAGATAGGGAACACAGGAAGAGGAACAGATGGCATGGGGGGTGGGGAACAGAGACAAGGGGTTCGATTTGGGGCCTGCAGAATTATATGTTTCTAGGGGACGGCTGGGTGGAGATACCAAGTGGGCAGTGGGTCCTGGGGGTCTCAGGTTGGTCCTGGGGTCTCAGGCTGGACGTGTGTGAAGGAGGCATTCAGGACCCTGTAGATGGCATCTGGAACTTGGGAAAGGATGGGGTCTCTTGGCAGGATGCAATGGGGACAGGATGTGTGGGTGTCGCTTGTCCATATGTGTGTTTCCGTGTGGTCTCTGCATGTGTGTATGTGTGTGTACGTCTGACTCTGGGACATGAATCCCCCACCTCTTGGGAGAGCCTGCGGGTCAGCTGGGAGCTGGGTTGTTTTTGTTTGTGGTTTGACCCTTGGAGGGGGGGTGCCAAGCCTGAGAAACTACCCACAGAGAAGCCCCCGGAAACATCTGTGAGTCTTCTTCCCCCAGGCCCAGGGTGGGGGATTGGCCAGGGAGGGAGATTTCTTGCTTCTCTCAGGCCTGCCTAGGGGAGGCTGTCCCTGGGGTAAGCATCAAGTTAGTAAAGGTGACAGCAGACCCTGAGGATTCGGGGACTTTCCAAGGCAGCTGGGAAGAGGGGGAAGGAGTGTTTGGAAAGGACACCTGAGCAGAGGAGACCCAGGCAGCCTTCTGGTTGGTCTTTCCTGTTCTCTCTCATTTCCTGTGATGGCAGTGGGGGGAGGGTTCCCCAGCACTGGGGCCTCGCCCTCAGCTTCAGTTTCCTTTCCCTTTCCCCCCTGCTGACCACCCCAGAGGCACAGCTGGAGCAGCAGAGACAAGGTGGCTGTACTCAGCCTTTGGGATTGAGTCCTCTGGGGTTTGCCAAGCCTTGGGAAGGGCCATTATTTGTTGAAGCATTCCAGGGAAGAAACCCCAAGTCTTTTATCCCTGGATAAGGCCAGCTGGCTGTGGAAGTCTCTGGTTCTACTTCTGCTGAGGGCCGAGACTCTCACACGGGAGACAGTGTTGTGTCGTGGGGTGCTCCGTGTCACGAAGCCACAGACAGGAGAGATTTTGGACATTAGGATTGAATGAGATGTTAAAGAGACATCCTGAGTGGCTGTGGTCACACGGGCCTGGAGTCAGGAGACTTCTTGACAGGGGAGCGGGGGTTTCTAAGGGAAAGTCTGAGAAGCTCCCACACCAGGAGGGGAGGGGCTCAGAAACATACTCCATCTAGGAATGGAGGCCAGAGTCAAAGCCGGCCTGTTCCCCAGAGTGCCTGGCTAGGGTGGAGCAAGGGCCCGCAGCCCTGCCTGTGTGCACGGTGGCGTGTCCGTGTGGGTGTGCTAGAGGATGAGGAGGTAGCAGAGCCAGCATACCAGGGCTGTGCGGGCTGTGGGGCTGTGGGGCGTACAGACACACACACAGGCACACAGATTCGAGCGTGTGAATCACCCAGCCTGTGAGTCAGCCCCCAGGATTCCTGTCGGGGAATGAGTGAGGCCAAGGCTGAGGTCTGCCAGTCCATCTGCTGATCTGTCTGCCTCCTGCCCCTGCTGGTGTGGATGCATGTTTGCGTATGCTGTAGGAGGTGGTGGGGAAGGTGCCTGGTGCCTGGGAAGGCTTTGGGCAGAGGTGAGAGTTTGAAATGCCGGATCATGGATTTGCACATTAGTTTGGAGGGAGGGAGGTTCTGTGTCTTGTGCAGAGATTCTCCTGGAGACTGTGTCCCCCACCACACACAGAGCTCCACAGAGAGGGCTGGAGGGCAGAAGTCAGGGTCTGGGATGCCTTGGAGGGGAAGTGGGAGGGATGAGGAGCCCACCTGCTGCTACCTGCCTGCCACTTAGAACCTTCTCATTCCCATTCCAGGCCATCTGTCCCCGGTCGCAGAGCACTCCGTGTACCACCATGACTGGGCTGTTGAAGAGGAAATTTGACCAGCTGGATGAGGACAACTCCTCTGTCTCCTCCTCCTCTTCCTCTGGGTGCCAATCTCGCTCCTGCTCTCCAAGCTCTTCTGTCTCCCGTGCCTGGGACTCAGAGGAGGAAGGGCCCTGGGATCACATGCCCCTGCCTGACCATGACTTCTGTGGCCCCAGAAGTTTTACCCGTGAGTCCTCCCTCCCCTGGGAATTCCCTCACCTGCCTTCCTTCCTGAAAGATGAAATTTAGAGGTCCCTGACAAATGCTTTTGGCCTCTGCAGGCCTCTGGGGGTAGCTCTCACAAACTATGATGTACTGGTCACTCAGTGTCCACTGTCCAGTGGCATCTGAGCCCAGCTAGTTCACCTTTGACCTTGGGAGTAATGACATCCAGGATGCAGCTCGCAGAGTGCCCTCGGCGCCTTCCCGCTCTGGCCCCTCCCTTCTGTTCCAGTTTCGTTTCTCCAATGAGCACCCTACCCTCCCACAGAGGGAACTGCTGGAGTTCCCCGCCCCATGCTTCTGGGCCACGGAGGCCTGTCAGGCCGGTCCCTCTCCTGTCAAAATGCTGTCCGGTTTTGCCTGAACAAAGTGAAAAGGGGTTTTTCCTGGTTATTTTCAAGCTTGTGTAATTGTGATTCCAGACTGACAAAGATGGCCCTAGAGCAGTGTTTCTGGGTTTTATTTTTCATGATTGCTCCCCAGGAAGTCTATTTAGACACTTTCTCCTAATTCCCCACCCCCATACAATTTTAATACAGTAGATGTGCTGTTTACCTTTCTATGTAGTGTATGTATATCTGTGCGTCACACATAAAAAGAATATAATTTTTAGCACATAGACTCTAACAGTACAAACAGAAAACCTTTTAGAAGGGAATTCCCGCTGGTAGCTGGGTCCAAAATTCATATAGTAAGTTGAAATATAAGGAATTCCCAATATTTGACCGTTATATGGTAATTTGTCACGGTTCACTATAGCAAAAACACCAGTACATGGTTTATTAATCAGTAAACACTAACTTGAAAACGGAAAGACTTTTTACACCTGTTGCAAAATACAGAAATTCTACAAATGGAGAAAAAACAATAGAAAAGTGTGCACAGGACCTACACATGGCTAACACGCATAGGAAACGTGCGTAACCTTATGACCACGGTCACTTGGCCTGGTAGATAACCATAATCCAGTGCTGACATGGTGTGGTGCTGGAGGCGGGTGGAGGTGGGAGGCGAGGGCACTCTGGCAGGATGTTCCTGGAGGTGTGTCGTGCCTCAGCAAAAACTAATCCCCAGCCCGTCCTTGCCTGCTTTGCAGCCCTGTCTATCCTGAAGCGGGCTCGCCGGGAGCGCCCAGGCCGGGTAGCCTTTGATGGGATCACCGTCTTCTACTTCCCCCGTTGCCAGGGCTTCACCAGTGTGCCCAGCCGTGGCGGCTGTACTCTGGGCATGGCCCCTCGCCACAGTGCCTGCCGCCGCTTCTCTTTGGCTGAGTTTGCGCAGGAACAAGCCCGAGCACGGCGCGAGAAGCTCCGCCAGCTCTTGAAAGAGGAGAAGCTGGAGATGCTGCAGTGGAAGGTAGAGAGCCCTCTCTGCCCACTTCCTGAGGCAGCTCCTCGAGGGGCGGGCATACCAGGGGTGGGTGCTGACTTGCTCATTATGTACATGGGGAAACAGGTCCTCGGGCCGAGTGATTGGTTCCATTGGCGTCTGTCACCTGGGTTGTCCGCAGAGGAGGCACATACAAGCTCCTGTCTGTTTGCCGCAGGGGCTGGAGGCATCATGCCTGCATCTGAACTTTTTGGAGAGTGGGGAGTGGAGTCGATACGGATTGGGGGTTTCATATCTGACTGGTTAGGGAAGGGAGTCTGTTGATGATCTAGGGAATGCCATGAGTAGGGTATCTTTTCAGATGCCCTGAGGACAATATTTTGGCTATCCTGTTCACCGTCACACACAGTGCCCATCACAGATTAAGCACTAGCAGTGGGAGGGTGAGCACTTGGGGCGGACTTGTCTGTGCCTCTCACATCCCTCTCTCCTGTGGATGCAGCTGTCGGCCACTGGGGTACCCAAAACAGAGGCAGGGCTGCCGCCTGCCGTGGATGCCATCAATGACGCCTCTCTGGAGGAGGACTTGGCGGCTGCTGTGGCAGGTGGCCGGTTGGAAGAAGTGAGCTTCCTGCAGCCATACCCAGCCCGACGACGTCAGGCTCTGCTGAGGGCTTCAGGCGTGCGAAGGATCGATCGGGAAGAGAAGCGGGAGCTGCTGGCACTGCGCCAATCCCGGGAGGATTGTGGCTGTCACTGTGATGGGGTCTGCGACCCTGAGACCTGCAGCTGCAGCTTGGCAGGCATCAAGTGCCAGGTGTGGTGGCTGGCCCGGGCTGGGATGGGGAACCTGAGCCTGGGGACTTGTTTGCACTCCACGGAATCCTCACTTGTACCTTTACTTTCTCTGCAGATGGACCACACAGCGTTCCCCTGTGGCTGCTGCAAGGAGGGCTGTGAGAACCCCATGGGCCGTGTGGAGTTTAATCAGGCCAGAGTTCAGACCCATTTCATCCATACACTCACCCGCCTGCAGTTGGAGCAGGAGGCTGAGAGCTTTAGGGACCTGGAGGCCCCTGCTCAGGGCAGCCCGCCCAGCCCTGGTGAGCAGACCCTGGTCCCCACTTTCCCACTGGCCAAGCCCACAATGAGCAACGAGCTGGGAGACAATAGCTGCAGCAGCGACATGACTGACTCCTCCAGGGCATCTTCCTCAGCATCGGGTGCCAGTGAGGCCCCTGACTGCCCCACCCACCCAGGCTTGCCTGGCTCCGGCTTCCAGCCTGGCGTGGATGATGACAGCCTGGCACGGATCCTGAGTTTCAGTGACTCTGACCTCGGCGGGGAGGAGGAGGAGGAGGAGGAGGAAGGGAGTGCGGGGAACCTGGACAACCTCAGCTGCTTCCATCCAGCTGACATCTTTGGTACTAGTGACCCTGGTGGCCTGGCCAGCTGGACCCACAGCTATTCTGGCTGTAGCTTCGCATCAGGCATCCTGGATGAAAATGCCAATCTGGATGCCAGCTGCTTCCTAAATGGTGGCCTTGAAGGGTCAAGAGAAGGCAGCTTTCCTGGCACCTCAGTGCCACCCGGCGTGGACACTGGCCAGAGCAGCTCAGTGGATCTCAGCTTGTCTTCCTGTGACTCCTTTGAGTTACTCCAGGCTCTGCCAGATTATAGTCTGGGGCCTCACTACACATCACAGAAAGTATCTGGCGGCCTGGACAATATTGAGGCACCTCACTTCCCCCTGCCTGGCCCCTGTCCACCTGGGGATGCCAGCACTTGCTTCCTGGAGTCCCTCATGGGCCTCTCCGAGCCGGCCGCCGAAGCCCTAGATCCCTTTATCAACAGCCGGTTTGAGGACACTGCCCCGGCATCTCTGATGGAGCCTGTGCCGGTGTGAGGACCAGGATGCCTTTTCCCAGCCCCAAAGCCTTGTTGCTGCTTTCTTGTAATTGTGGGGCTCCCCAGAGTCTCTGTGTAACAGTATCCCACGGGCTGGCTCACCACAGGTGCCATGCGCACACTCCTGGTTTTCATACAACTCCCCGGATTTATTTATTTGTTAACTTTTCTGTGCTGAAGAGAGGATTGGGGGGGGTACCCCTTTGAGCTGCTGGGCCCCCCACACCCACAGCTTGCTCTTCCATCTCCATAACGTGTACCTGGAAGAGGAGAAAGTGTGGCTCCCTGGAGCTTGGTCTTTGTGTGATGTTCCTTAACCCAAGGACTGTGAGACGGCTGAAATGAGGCGGCTTCTGCCACCCTCAGCCCTAGACCCATGGGTGGCTAAATCCTCTGGACTGTGAAGACTGTAATTTATTTCCATAACTTATTTGGGAGATAGAGGAGGCTTTGGTTGCTCCTCTCTGGTGGGTGGGCAGTGCCAGGGGTGGGGTGGGCACAGGCCCTCAGGAGCCCCTTTTGCCTTGTACTCCTACACCCTGCCCTGCCTGGGCGTTAGTGTAGACTAGGTGTGGATTTGAGCTCTATGAGCTATGTCCGCTGCCTGGCTCCTGGATGGCTCTGCAGGCAGGGGCTGGCCAAGGACATCATCTGGGTAGGGGGAGAGGCTGGGCTAACCAGCTGTGACCAAAACTCCCTTCTGCCCCACCCTGCCCTCTCTACTTCCTGCCCTCTGTCCATCTTCCCCTTCCCCAAAGGCCACAGCCTTTCTTCTAGGCCCAGGGATGTAGGAGGAAGGAGGAAACAGGAGGCCCAGAGAGGGCAAGGGGCCTACCTCAGGGTACAAACCATGCCCCAGCCTATTATCTCAGGGCTTTCTGGGCACTGCACTTCAGCCTGGCCCACCTGCCCATGCCCTGAGGCCAGTTGGCGAGGGGTGGCTCCTGAGGGCTTTTATACTGTTTGTTTGCTAACGTTTAATTTCGCATCATAATTTCTACATTGTCCCTGAGTGTCAGAACTATAATTTATTCCATTTCTCTCTGTGTCTGTGCCAAGAAATGCAGGCTCTGGGCCTGCCCCCTTGCCCAGGAGGCCTTGCCAGCCTGTGTGCTTGTGGGAACACCTTGTACCTGAGCTTACAGGTACCAATAAAGAAGCTTTATTTTTAACAGTGTGGTCTGTATCTGTGGGGTGGGAAGCAGGGGCAATGGAGATGGAAGGGAGACAGGCCCTGCAGGGCCGCATGGACACAGGCTGAGTTGGGGGGTTAGGAGTCGGCACACCCAGCACATTGGGCCTCTTTCCAGGCAAGCCAGTCAAACTGGAGGCAGAAAGCCAGTTGAGAGGCTGGCCAGGCAGAACCAGCAGTTTTTCCTTTGGATTAACTGGTTCTTCTCCAGTGGTAACCTGGATGGGGAGGAACAGCAGCAGGGTCTTCTGACATGGGACCATCTGCTGGGGATGGGTGAGGGCACCCTCCTGCCTACACACACGGAGCTGAGGCCTTGTCCTGAGGGTGAATTCACCAACCTGAGTGGAGGCGGGGCAACGGGATATGTTTGGTCAAGGCCTGCTGATGGCCTTACTTAGCAGCTGTGGTCCCTGGGGACTTAAGCAGGGGGCAGCAGGAAGGGCAGGGGGAAAGCTTCACAACCTCATCCCTCTGCACCAGCCAGACCTGTCTGACCTGTCCCTGGCAGCTCAGCTGGGCTGCAGGCCAGAGGAGTAGGCCACACCCTGCTCTGGGGAGCCCCAGTCTGGGGACCTAAGAAAGGTTGACCTCCTCCTTGGGAATGATAGTGGTTTGTACAAGAGCTGGAAGGAGGAACCGCCAGAGGAGAACTGACTTGGGTCTCCTTGCTCTATCTGCCTCGGTCTGCACTGGGCTCACTCATCTCTTTGGCTTAACTGGTAAGGGCAGAGCCAGAATGCTGGGTTTGAATCTCAGATTTTCTACTACCTGGTGAGGTGATTTATGCAAATTACTCCCTCTGTGCCTGGGTGTCCTCAATACCGCATGGAAATAGTAACACTGCTCACCTCATAAGCTTGTTTAGTTCATATTTACAAAGCACTTAGAGTGCCTGGAACATGCAAGTCCTGTGTACATGTTTGCAATTTCCATCAGTTCTCACGTTCCTGCCACTCTTTTTCTATATATTTAATCCTTTTTGGCCTCCTGTCCCGTCACCCTTTAGGTATCTGTCTCTTGCCTCTAGACATGCATGGACATGGCCACATGGCCGTATCAGTGCCATTAGAGGACTTATGGTTTGACGTCTGGCCTATGGTGGGGCAGTATGTCCCTGCAACCAGCTTGGCGGGGAATAACCAGGCCTTAGGCTTCTCGGGGTAGAGTATGCTGGTACATTGAGTTGACCTGTCTATTCTTCACCGGTGTCTGGAGAGCGTTTTGTAGAGATTACTTCAGCATGCACAATCTAAGACCCGGGTTCCTCCAAGGGCAATCAAGGTCGCTCTGACTGCCCTGGTGGTCTGGGTGGCAGCCCTCAGCTCCAGCAGTCCGGCAGGGAGCCCCAACAGGCTTCCACCCCATGGACTCAGACCATGGCTGGACTGAGGCCTGCCTACTCTCATCTAGGGCCACAGGGTTCTTAGTTTTGGTTCTTTGTTTTTAGATAAAGGAAGACAATCTAGGTTTTACAATAAAAACATCATCAATGCACAATCCCTTTCCAGCATCTTTCTCCATATAGATAGACCTGCCTCTCAGCAAACCTGTCCCAACAAAACAGGGTTGTAAAGCAGAGCACAGAAAAGGAGACAGGGTTTTCCCGTAGGAAGGATGGTATCCCCAGCTTATTCCAAAAAAACGTGTTTGTGATCAGCAGTGTGTTATAAAAACCACGCTCAGCGGCCATCAGGGAACTCACACTGTTCCAAAGGGAACCTCATCTGTCCACTGTTCCCAAACCTTAGTCACTGGACAACTGCTCTTGAAAACTGCCCATATCTGCATTCGACTAAGCATTTTCTTTAAATAATAATCTTTCTTTAAATCAATTATATCAATGTGCTTTAAAGCTAAATGCATCTCATGGAACAGCCCCCATAAATGTCTGAGTTTGCTGTGCTGCTTGGTTTTCTATGTTATGTACAAATGATGTGTAAACAGTTACTGAACTTTAAAATGTTTGCTGTGTATCACTGGCAGAGAGTTGTGCCATGATCTGGGAGACATCTAATTTCCTGCCACAAATGGGGACACTAAGACCCAGAGAGGGGAAGAGACCTAGGAAGGTCACATCAGGAGATCCTAGGCTTCCTGACTCCTAGTTCAGAGTTCCAGCCCCTGAGGACGGAGTGTCCCATTATTGCCATCCTTAATGACATCGAGGAGGAGGGATAATGGGAGCACAGCAAAGGTGGCCTTTGTCACCCTCTTGCCAGTTGCAATTAACTAACATTATTCATCTAAATAGGGACCATTGCATTTCCCCCTAAGACCTTAAAAGGGTTTCTGGAGGATGTTAGTGGCCAATGTCTTTTAGCTGAAGTGAGAACTACTTTTTCTCGGAATGTATTTCCTTGTGCCAGGTACAGGTAGTCAGGTTTGTCTCAAAGTGGTAAGGACCAGAAGAAGCCAGGTGTACTTGGTGGGGAATGGTGAGGGCAAGAGAAACAGAATGCACCGACAGGGTGGGCCCTCTCACACGGGGCCTGGGCTGTGGGGGCCTTGTGCAGCTGGTCCTCCTGTCTGGGCCCACTGCCAGGCAGACTCAGGGGTAGCCCGGCAGGGTGGGGCAGCTGCTTCGTTAGCTCCAGGATCCTGGAGACCAGACAGGAGAAGGTCAAAAACCATTGAAAAGTGGCTGAAGGGGATTCTTTTCAGCCACACTCCACTAGGAGCCCCTCAAAGAATGTGGGATAAAAGCGGAGTCTGTTAGAAAATGCCCAGTGAGCTCAGCAAAAGTTAAGCCAGTTGATGTCTTTCTTCCCAGAGCAAAATGTACTGTGCCTTAAAAACATAGAGCTTTGGGGTGGCCCTTAGGGCGGATGAGACATGATTCAAAGTAAACCACATATACCATAGACACGGAGAAGAATGTAATTAATAAAGGAGAAGAATGTAATTAATAAAAAGAAAGAAAGAAAGAAATGAGGAGGAATATGTCATTTTCTGAGTCCCGTCTGCACTGACCCACTTCCCATTTCTCTGCACTTCAGTAGGTTGACGGCTTCTGCTGGGCAAGGCCCCTTGACCGCAGCTAGGGCCTCAGGGACCTTCGGGCCTTATCCAAAATTTCCTCCCTGATCTTGGGGTAGTTGGGGTGCTCCCTGAGGACCTGGAAGAGAGAGAGAAGCGTGTGCAGTATCAGGCAGGCTTCTCCACTGCTCGCCAGGCCTCCCTGCCAAGGCTGCCTGCTTACATCATGGCAGATCTCGATGGCCTCCACAAATTTCTTGTCCTTCAGGTAGTTGAAAGCAAGTCTGAAACCTACCAGGGGCATGGAGAGCATAGATGGTGGCACCCTGATGACCTGAGAACCCCTCTGTTCTCATAACAGCTAGGGTGCAGGCCTTGAGTTCTGGAATAATGGCGGGGGTCCTCCTGCCCACCTCCCTCCCACACCCATTCACACACACCCCGGCTGGCTGCCTTACCAATGGCAGGGCTGGCGTGATAGCTGTACTTCCAGGCCAGTTTGTAGTTGGTGACTGCATCCTTGTAGGACTGCTCCTTCTCCATGATGAAGCCCATGTATTCATAGGCCTTGTAGCAGGACTGTAGGGAAAGCCAGTTAGAGCCTCTGCAGAGGGGAAGCCCCAGCTGGTTCCCTGGGCCAGGGTAGGACTGGGACCAGAACCAGAAGCAGGCAAGAGACAGATGTGAGCTGCCATAAACCAAACTGCCAAGGGACCCCAGGGGTACCTGCACCTTTGCAAGAGGCCAGCTGTGTGCCTTCCTCTCAGCTACCCAGGATGCTGGTGTAACCCCTTTACCTGCAGCCCTCCTGTCCTGCCGCCCCCATTTCTGGCCTGCTCTGACCTGCAAAAGTCCCTCCAGGCTGGAACCCGTGAACCTTTCCCATCTCTCTCTGCCATGTAGTGTACCCTCCTCTGGACGTGCCCCGCCCCATGCACCTCCTCTTACCCGGTCCTTGCCCTTGATCCCCATTCCTATTTTGGTTCCCATTCTGTTGCCTGTGTGCCCCCTTGGCCTGCCTCTTCCTGACTAGTTCTTATTCCGCACGGCCTCTGCCTGCAAAGCCTGCTTCGCCCCCCTGGAGTAGCTGGAGTGCTCTCCGCAGCCTTGCTGCCCATGTGTGTGCCCCCCTTGCCTTGTTGTACTGCACACAGTGCTGCAGCAGTTCTGAGGCTGGTGGAACTTGCCGCCCTGGCAGTAAATGTCGGCCAGCAGGAGCCAGCCCTTCTCCAGGTCATCAGCCTCACTCAGCATCCAGGGAGCCTTGGCCAGGTGCTTCAACTGCGTACGTGCCTTGGGGATGTGCTTCAGAAACACGTAGGCTTGTGCCAAGGCCAGCTGGGCAGGAATGCTCTCCTTCTGCACACCAGGTGGGAAGTGGATGTCAGCATGCTTTGGCGGTCAGCCTCTGCCCCACCGTCTACCCACTCCCTCCAGTCCCCACCAGCCACACCTCAGCCTGCGCTATCTGGAGGAAGCTGCCCAGCGCAGCCTCTATGTTAGCCTTCTCCCTGGTGGCCAGCCAGCAGAGGCCCTGCAGCAGCTGCAGCTGGGTCTGGCTGGAGGCTGAGTGTGGGTGAAACTCACACAGCAGTTTCTCGGCAGTGCTCACACCCTGCTGCTCCAACTCCTTTTTCTCCGTGTAGCTGCAGGTATTAGACCCGGGTGTCAGATGCAGGCCAGTGGCCTGCCCCTGTGGCCCTCACCCGGCTTCCACCCAGGGGCTGCAGACTCTCCCTAATTTCCCCAGGGTTCCGTCCCTACCCTGACGCACCCTTACTTGATCTCGGCCTCCTGGTTCTCAAAAGCCTCTCCGCCCACAACCTCTCTGTCTGGGTTCAGACAGATCTGCGCCATGTGGCAGACGGCGCTCTGGCCCCAAGTGCTGTCCTTGCGAGCCTTGTTCAGGGACTTGAAGGCTTCGTTGGGCTGCCCTGTGTGCCTGTAGTGGAGAAAACGCCAAGAATCACTGAGGGAAACTGAGGCCCAGACAGGACAGGG